ACAATCTCAGCTCACTGCAACCTCTACCACCCAGCTTCGAGCAATTCTCCTGCCTCAGACTCACATGTAGCTGGGATTACAGGTGCCTGCCACCGTGCCTGGCTAATTTTTGTATGTTTAGTAAAGACAGGGTTTCACCGTCTTGGCCAGGCCGGTCTTGAACTTCTGACCTTGTGATCTATCTGCCTCGGCCTCCCAAAGTGCTGGGATTACAGGCGTGAGCCACTGCACCTGGCCACTCCTAGGGCATGTTTTCTGGCACCTGTTATTTTCAGTAACCCATTAGTTTTGTCAGACTTAATAGAGTTAATGTATGAAACATCAATTATGTCAAACTCCAGAGTTTAAATGGAAAGATAGATTATCTTTTTAAAAATACAGAATTGTGGGTGTGGCTAATTATAGAATTGGCTTGTAATCCTAGCACTTTGGGAGGCTGAGACAGGAGGATAGCTTGAGCCCAAGAGTTTCTTTTTTCTTTTCTTTTCTTTTTTTTTAAAGACACAGTCTCACTTTGTCACCCCGGCTGCAGTACAATGGCATGATCTCAGCTCACTGCAACCTCTGCCTCCCAGGTTCAAGTGATTCTTGTGCCTCGAGCTTTGCAAGTAGCTGGGATTATAGGTGTGTGCCAACACACCCAGCTAATTTTTGTGTGTTTTTTGATAGAGTTGGAGTTTCATTATGTTGGCCAGGCTGATCTCGAACTCCTGACCTCAAGTGATCTGCCTGCCCCGGCCTCCCAAAGTGCTGAAATTACAGGTGTGAGCCAGTGTGCCTGGCCAAGCCCAGGAGTTTGAGACCAGTCTGGGCAACAGACCAAGACCCTGTCTGTCGGCACAGTAAAAATTATGAAATATTAGAATAGCAAATCTTACTCTTAAAAGTTTTGTTTTCCTCGTTTTGTTTTGTTTTGTTTTGTTTTGTTTTGTTTTGTTTCTGAAAAAGCTTGGCTTTAGAAACCTCTGGGTAGTTTGAATTGCAGACAAGCAGGCCCTCTTCCTGTTTAATTAATGAGATTTGTAAGTAGTACTTGGTTTCCCCAGACTCTAGAACCTAGAGGAAGGAAATTTTGATGGAGCTGTTGGTAAAGCATTTAGCACCTAAGTTTTATTTTGAATTGTTATTTTCTTAATTATAGAAAACAATACACGTTCATAGTAGAAAATACCCAAAATTGAAAAGAATATAAAGCACTTAATAAAACTCTACCACCTAGGCCAGGTACAGTGGCTCACACCTGTAATCCCAACACTTTGAGGAGGCCAGGGCAGGTGGGTCACCTGAGGTCAAGAGTTCTAGACCATACTGGACAATGTGGTGAAGTCCGTCTCTACTAAAACTACAGAAATTAGCTGGGCATGGTAACAGGTGCCTGTAATACCAGCTACTTGGGAGGCTGAGGCAGGAGAATTGCTTGAACTCAGGAGGCAGAGGTTGCAGTGAGCTGATATTGTGCCGCTGCACTCCAGCCTGGGTGACAGAGCTAGACTCAAAAAACAACAACAAAAAAAAAACCACTACCGCTCGGAGATGGTGGTGGCTAACACCTTAGCAAGAATTTCTCTTGCAATTTTCTATGCAAGCACATTCAGACAAATTTTCATTTTTTTAAAAAAAGATAACCATACTGTATGAATTTAACTGCCTGATTAGCTTGTTATATCATCATCATTCTTACCGTTAAATGCTCTATAGTTTTCTTTTAAATGGCTATCTGTGGTAGTGTTCCTTGAAGGAAATACCTTAAAAGTTTTTGTTTTTAAACTTTAATAATTGTGGAAATGTAATACAGTGAGTGTAGAACACAAATGTTCAGCTTAATGAATAACATCCTTGTAACTGCCACTAAGGTCAAGACATCGAATAGGGTCAACAGCCAGGAGCCCCCCCACCCCCCTCAATGCTCCTTCCCAGCCAGTCATAGCCCCATTCTTCCCCCTGAAAGTAACTTCTGTCCTGACTTTATAAAAGTTGTTTTCTTGCTTTCCTTTAGGTTACGTACCTGTCTTTGCATTCCTAATGCTGTAGTTTAGTTGAGCTTATTTTGAACTTTTCACAAACAGAATCAAGTATGCCTTCTTTTGTATCTGGCTTTCATTCGGTACTTTGTTTTTAATACTCATCTATGTTGTTAGTAGTTACAGTTCATTCTTTTTTTGTTGCTGTATAATCCATTTATTGAATATACTACAATTTGATTCTGCTGCTGGCAGCCACTTTGATTGTTTATAGTCTGCATTACAAGTGCTACATTGTGAACATGTGAGTTGTGATTTGTGTGTATGTGCAAGTACTCCTCTAGGGAATCCAAACCTAGGAGGGACGTTGCTGGGTCAAAGGATGTTTGTATCTTCAACTGTACCAGATAAGGCCAAATTGTGTTCTCCAATGGTTGGATGCGTTTTCAGTGTACTTGTTCTACTCCTAATTAACACTGCTTGATATTGTCAGACTTTTAGCCATTCTGTTGGATGTGGTGGTATTTCATTGTGGTTTTAATCTGCATTATTTTACATTTTCTTTATTGTTAGTGAAATTAACCTTTTATGTGTTTTGGCTACTTCAGTATGCTCTTTTGCAGTGCCTAATTCACATCTTCTGAGTTGCCTTTTTCCCAATGATTTATGTTTGTGTGTGTGTGTGTGTGTGTGTGTGTGTGTGTGTGTGTGTGTGTTTTGAGAAGGAATGTGGTTCTGTCACCCAGGCTGGAGTGCAGTGGCACGACCTCGGCTCACTGTAACCTCTGCCTCCCTGATTCAACTGATTCTCTTGCCTCAGCCTCCCAAGTAGCTGGGACTTCAGGTGCACGCCACTGCACCCAGCTGTTTTTTGTGTTTTTAGTAGAGAGATAGGCTTTCACCATGTTGGCCAGGCAGGTCTCAAACTCCTGACTTCAAGTGATCCATCTGCCTGGGCCTCCCAAAATGCTGGGATTACAGGTGCGAGCCACCACACCTGGCCTGATTTATGTATTCTAAATAAAAGTTGTTTATTGGTTATGTAAGTTGCAAATATCTTTTTCAGCTCTGTAGATAATGTTTTCTGATGAATAGAAAGTCTTAATTTTAATGTAGTTTAATTGATTTTTTTTCTCCTTTGTAAGAGTTAATGTTTCTTATGTCTTGTATAAATCTTATATTGGGATAAAAGATACATATATATTTTTAAGGTTTTGGCTAATAGTTTACTTTTCTGCTGGCAGCGTGTGAACCTTTTTATACTGTTTTTACTCTCATCAAGAGTGTATGTATGGTTTTCTTTTCTTTTTCTTTTTTTTTTTTTTTTTGAGATGGAGTTTCAATCTTGTTACCCAGGCTGGAGTGCAATGGCGCAATTTCGGCTCACTGCAACCTCCGCCTCCTGGGTTCAGGCAATTCTCCTGCCTCAGCCTCCTGAGTAGCTGGGATTACAGGCACACGCCACCATGCCCAGCTAATTTTTTGTAATTTTTAGTAGAGGCGGGGTTCACCATGTTGACCAGGATGGTCTCGATCTCTTGACCCCGTGATCCACCCGCCTCGGCCTCCCAAAGTGCTGGGATTACAGGCTTCAGCCACTGCGCCCGGCGTATGTGTGATTTTCTTACGCTCTCGTCAGAACTGGAGATTTGGGGTCAATTTTGCCAATGTAATAGACTTCCTTAATTCATTAAGGAGTATTTAATCTTAGTTTGCCCACGAGAGAGGTTAAATTTGTTTTATTATACCAAGAACATAGCAGTCAATAAGCCTAACTAAAAATATTATTTAGCTTTTGATTCTAAAGACCATTTATGTCCTGTAGGGAAAAGAGATAAAGATCCAGAAAACTGTTTTCTTTTTTATTAATTTAAGACACATGATTTTGGCTAAAACTAATGGAAATAAATTGATGAAACTTCAATGTAGTGGGTCAAGAGACTCATGAAATTGATGAGTTAGATTGTTGTGGGCACCCTTTTTAAATTTATGGTACCTTTTTCACATAATCGTGACTTTATCAACTCTTTTTCATGTACTTTTATTCAAAGAAGACCTGAAAGTGTCTGTCCCAACTTGTCTTCTTGTCTCTAACTCCCAGTACGCATCTATACTCTTTCTAGTTTTGAGGTGTGAGAGAACGCCTAAGTTCTTGGGAATGGGTGGAGTTTAATTCTGGGTCTATATATAGTGAGTCTGTTGGAAGAAGCTTTTCTTAAGAGGTGAAATTTGGGATGGAGCTCTCCTCTACACTCTAGCACTGAGGCCAATCTTTGGTTTAGACCTCTGGCATTTTTCAGTGGACTTCTGTCATAGTGTCTGACTCTTCTTCCTGTCTCCAGGCTTCCCATGATTGCCGGATGAAATTTAGAAAACTTACATTACTCCCCTAGTTAATATCCTTCAGTGACTCCAGAACAATGAAATTATTGATCCCTCTTCATGGGTCTTTGTTCCCCACACCCCTAGTTTTCCTGAGTTTGGAATATTCTTTCACATTTGCTCATCCCACTATCTAGAACTTCTTACAGTCTCCTTAGTTGCTAATTTCTTGTAAAACCCAGCTTAAGCCACACATCCTTTTGTTTATGTTACTTCCCTGGTCATTATTCACCTCCATGCTGTCTTTCACTCAGCTCATTGAAGTTAGGTGCCTCCTCTTCTGGGCTGCCACAGCTCTTCGAGTTTACCTGTGTTACCGTACTTTGTATTGTAATCAGTTTGATTATCCCTGCTACTTAGCTGAGCTCCTTGAGAGTAGAGCCCTGATTTCCTGCTCCTTAGCACTCCATCCTCCCCGGAACTAGCATGGTGTCGCTTATAGGAGGCACCCTATAAATGTTGAATAATGTTTAATGCAAAAGTATATCTAACTTTCTTAATGATATATTTATGAAAAGAACTTACTGGAAAAGAGGTCAATTAGAAAGAGTTAGGAATTTGTCAGTATTCTAAATCCCTCTTTTTCAAAAGCATACACTGCCTTGCTTGAAGAGTTTATAGGGTTTTGTTTACCTGAATTGTGCCTTGCTGTTACAGAAGGATGCCCTGCAGTGGTCTCGCACTCCCGCAGCAGTGGAGGGGGAGGAGCCAGAGGATACAGCTGATGTGGAGAGCTGTGGCTCTAATGAAGCCAGCACTGTGAGTGGTGAAAACGATGGTAAGGACCCTTAACCGGATGGGTGAGGGAGCCACAACAGGCACTAGGGACTAACCTTTATTTCCTCTCTTCCAGTATCTCTTGATGAAACATCTTCGAATGCATCTTGTTCTACGGAATCTCAGAGTAGACCTCTTTCCAATCCCAGGGACAGCTACAGAGCTTCCTCACAGGTAAGGAAGAGGCAGAGCCTAGCCTGGGAGGGTGAATGATGGCTGGTATAAGACAGGATCCTTCTTTCTCCTGTAGTGAGCTGTGAACGTGTTCAGAGAGTGAAGAACAGAAGTCTGGTCTCTAGTGGTTAGTAGCATTTTACAGTGGGCAGTAGGAAAAGTGAACAGTAGGTCTGAGCAGAGTGAATTTTCTCTTTTTCTTTACCTTGGCTGGGTGATTGTATTCATTCTTTTTGTTTTGTTTTGTTATTTGAGACCAAGTCTCGCTTGTCACCCAGGGTGGAGTGCAGTGGCACAATCTCCGCTTGCTGCAAACTCTGCCTCTGGGGTTCAAGCAATTCTCCTGCCTCAGCCCCCCGAGTAGCTGGTATTACAAGCACGTACTACTGCGCCTGGCTAATTTTTGTATTTTTAGTAGAGATGGGGTTTTGCCATGTTGGTCAGGCTAGTCTCAAATTCTGACCTCAAGTGATCTGCCTGCCTCAGCCTTCCAAAGTGCTAGGATTACGGGTGTGATGACTCAACACTTGGCTTGATTCTGTTCATTCTTGTAATATACACGTGAACATCCAAGGAGAAGTACAGAGTAGTGAGAACAGGAGCTCGGAAGTGAGCAGTTTGAATGATAAGCCCTGACACTTACTGGCCTTGAGACTTTGGGAAAATTCCTTACCTGTAAAATGGGGATAACAATACATTTTTTTGTAGCTTATAATGATGCTTGGCACGGTGACCAGCACGTAGCTCAGTAACATTAACCAGTGCTCTTGTCAGCATTATTTGGCAGATCTGGTTAAAGATGAACTTCATTTTACAAGAGAGTGAGTAGAGACAGCGTTGCCAGGGAATACTTTTGTGGCACTGCAGTTGACTTGGACTCTCTTTTTGTTCTCTCTGGGAATATAGGCGAACAAACAAAAGAAAAAGACTGGGGTGATGCTGCCTCGAGTTGTCCTGACTCCTCTGAAGGTAAACGGGGCCCACGTGGAATCTGCGTCAGGTACGTGTAAACTCATGGTTGTGATGCTTTTTCCTCAGGTCCTGGGGACCTGGCCTCCCTCTGTCAGCGGTTTCTGACCTAGTAGTGTGATGCCAGGAGAGCTGTCGGGCCACAGGCAAGAGCTCCGCCAGTGGGTGAGGCCTGCCATAGGTTCTAGTACTGTGCTCTCTGCCGTGTGCCTTCCTCTTTGCCTCCCAGGGCAGTCGTGAGGATCCAGCGAAGGATTTGATTGTGCCAGTGCTTTGTAAAAGGTGTAGTGTATACACATGAAGATGGTGGTTTGGCACTCGTAAGGTGATACTTTAAAGTCAGACCATGAGGTGGTGGTTTCTCTCAGCCCAAGGCTGGGAGATCGAAGCATCCCAGTACTGCTGGCAGCATCTCAGGGAGAGCTGGGAGAAGTGAGCTTGTCTGAGAGCCATGGGCGCGGCTTGTGATACTTTTGACCAGTGGAATGATGTGCCTTCAGGGTTCTCGGGCCGCCACGCCGATGGCGAGAGCGGCAGCCCATCCAGCAGCAGCAGCGGCTCTCTGGCCCTGGGCAGCGCTGCTATTCGTGGCCAGGCCGAGGTCGCCCAGGACCCTGCCCCGCTCCTGAGAGGCTTCCGGAAGCCAGCCACAGGTGAGTGGCTTGGCACTCATTTCTCTGCCTGTAAAGGGGGCCCCTGCAGGCCTAGTGAGAAGATGATGTCTTCTGTTCCAGTTCCTTTACCAGTTTATTTTTACTTCTTGGGTGGCCCTCTATTTTTTTTGTTGTTGTTGTTGTTTATTTTTACCTTGTAATTTGGTTATTTCATTTGTAGCTCTCTTCTAGACTGTGTGAGAACTCCTTTCAGGCAGAGATGATGCCACATTGTTTCTCATATGTCCCTGTAGGCCTAGTCTGTGCCTGCCCTATACTGCTTAGTAAGTGTTTGAGTGAGTGAAAACCGTTTCTGAGCTTCTCAGTGAAGAATTGTAACACCCCTTTTCTTTCTTCGGTAGCATCCTGCCACATTCGTTCCCAACATCTGTAGTCTCTATCAGATGCTTTCTTTTTTACAACCTAGTCAGTGTGTTGAGGGGAAGCATGTGTTGAATCCTGGGGATGCAAACAAATGTAGTAGCTATATCTATACCTCCCACCCCTACCACCCCCCACCCCCATTAGGGTTATTTGCAATGCTAGTATGCTCTTTGCTATTTCAGGATTTAATTCTTAATGGCCCACATGCTGGGTTTTTTGTAGATGAACCACATGAAACCATTAAGAAGACAAGCCTTTGCTTTTGAGAATTAGAGTAAACCTTTGCCCAAGTAGGAACTAGGTTTGCTGTCTTGCTGCTTTTCCAGCTCATCAGCAGTGCCCAGTCTGAGATCTCACAGGTCTCTATTCCTAGTGAGTTTTTCAGATAAAAGTAACATTTGCTGAGGCTTCTGTGAGAGGTATTAGCATCTCAGTTGGCTTTGAACAGTCCTTAGTACACTTCTGCATAGAGATCATCCCTCTCCAGCCCATTCACAGAAGGCTTCTGCAGATTTTTCTGTAGTATACTAACTAGATTTGCTTTTAGACAATTTCCATCATTTCTCCAGTTGAGCTTTGTGTGGAGCCTGTTCTCCAGCTTCGGAGGGAAGCTCAGAACCTGCCCTTTGCCTGGCTTTCTGTGGGAAGTGTCCTTTCAGGCTGTGACACAGGACGGTACAGAGTTTTGTCTGAGGAGATATAAGCCCAAGTGTTCTCCTAGGTTTGATGGCCATGACAATAACCTGGAAAGAACAGTTGTAACATGCAGGTCAGGATGGACTGGACAGTTGAGCAGAGGGTGTGCAGATAAGTTCTGGGTACCTTGGGTGCTGCCACCAAAGTTTTCCCATCAATGGGCATTTGGTTTTTTCCTTTAAAAAGCTGAATCTATACCTTGCTTCTCCTTGCTTCAAAAATCACAGGTCAAATGAAGCGCAACAGAGGGGAAGAAATAGATTTTGAGACACCTGGGTCCATTCTTGTCAACACCAACCTCCGTGCCCTGATCAACTCTCGGACCTTCCATGCCTTACCATCACACTTCCAGCAGCAGCTCCTGTTCCTCCTGCCTGAAGTAGACAGACAGGTGCACATGGGCAATCTCCCCTTTGCCTCTTTCTGGGTGGGCTTCTGTTCTCTTTTCAGTTTCTTTATTTATTAGGATTTTTTTTTCCTTGATCCTTCTAGGTGGGGACAGATGGCCTGTTGCGTCTCAGCAGCAGTGCACTAAATAACGAATTTTTTACCCATGCGGCCCAGAGCTGGCGGGAGCGCCTGGCTGATGGTAAGTAGACTTGATCATCTCAGGTGGCCTGCGATGCACCTTCTTTGTGTGGTGGTGCATATCTCCTGGGATTTAAAACCCAAGCTCGCTCTTCTCAGAGGGTTATTTAGTGTAAGGCAGGCTTTCCTCACGTTACTAATAAATGTGGTAGGTATTAACGTGCCACACAGCTCTGAAGAAATAACAGGGTGTTTAGGTTTAGACTTTCATATAGTGTATGTATATATTCATTCTTCATCTCCTTTTTATCATTAACACTATAAATACCTATTCGTTCCAATAATCATGGCATCGTCTGAAAAAGGGTGGAGGAAAGTCCACTATGGAGTCAACACGTTCCACCATGCTCTGTCTTTTTAGGCATTGTCACTTGGAGTGATTGTTAGCTTCTGTTAATTTAATTTTATAGCAAAAGTGTTGAGAGGGCCCTAAGAACACCCCTAGGTTTGATTTGCTAGCAGGACTCAGCATATAGTTATACATACAGGGCTATGGTTTATTACAGCAGAAGAATACAAAGTAAAATCAGCAGATGGAGAGGTACGTGGGGTGAGGTCCAACGGAAACTGTGTGTGTTGGCTTCCAAGGTTCTCTCTCAGTGGTGTCACACAGGACACGTTTAATTCCTCCAGCAATAAATTAGGACAACACGTGTGAAATGTCTACTAGGGAAACCTGTTAAAGACTTGGTACCCAGGGTTTTTGTCAAGGGCTGATCATGTAGGAAGCCACTGCTTGGCACATACCCAGATTCCAGATTCCCAAAAGGAAGGCAGATGTTCAGCATAAGCCATATTGTTTGCATAAACAAGTTTGGCACAGTGAACAAGTCATATCAGTTAGGGTGGTTGGGAGCCCTCCTGAAATCTAAATTCCCAGATGTAGGCCAAGGGCTGTTCTTTTTGTTTTGTTTTGTTTTGTTTTTGTTTTTCTTGTTTTTGTTTTTGTTTTTGTTTGAGACGGAGTTTCACTCTTGTTACCCAGGCTGGAGTGCCATGGCGCGATCTCGGCTCACCGCAACCTCCACCTGCTGGGTTCAGGCAATTCTCCTGCCTCAGCCTCCTGAGTAGCTGGGATTACAGGCACGCGCCACCATGCCCAGCTAATTTTTTGTATTTTTAGTAGAGACGGGGTTTCACCTTGTTGACCAGGATGGTCTCCATCTCTTGACCTCGTGATCCACCCACCTCGGCCTCCCAAAGTGCTGGGATTACAGGCTTGAGCCACCGCGCCCGGCCTAGGGCTGTTCTTTTAAGGAGACTTTTCTAAGTGTAAACAGTCAGGGTTACTATGTTACTTTCTGTGTAGACAAAAAAGTTAAGAATGGTTCTTTTGTTTGTTGTTTTGCTTTTTTGATCAAGGAGTTGCTTGCTCTCACTTTATGGAAGAGTGAATTTCCCTTACGGTAGACTTGTTAGCTCTATCCCTGTAAGAGTGTGATGTGAGAGCGCCTCTAGAAGAGACATGTTGTTTTAACACTGGGAGATTCAGCTGTCCGTAAGACAGACGTTAATATCCCAAATGCACTTACTAGAAGAGGTTTATTTCTCCCTAGGTGAATTTACTCATGAGATGCAAGTCAGGATACGACAGGAAATGGAGAAGGAAAAGAAGGTGGAACAATGGAAAGAAAAGTTCTTTGAAGACTACTATGGACAGAAGTAAGGCAGCTGGAGCTACGAGTCTCGGTCTGGGGTTTTGAGGGGATAGAGGTAGATGGTCTCAAAATAGTGTATACTTATGTGTTGGACAAGAATGTGGAGGTTGCAGTGACACTTGGGTCATTTATCTTAATGCCATTCATAGTGAAGCTAACAGTTTTTCTATGGATAGTGTGATGCAACACACAGATTTACTTTGTTCTGAGATATCTATGTTTCTGGGTCCATATTATTCATAGAAATAGACATGTCCCCTCTGGCCTGAAACTGATGGTGTGATTCTGATTTGCAGGCTGGGTTTGACCAAAGAAGAGTCATTGCAGCAGAATGTGGGCCAGGAGGAGGCTGAAATCAAAAGTGGCTTGTGTGTCCCGGGAGAATCAGTGCGTACACAGCGTGGTCCAGCCGCCCGACAGCGAGATGGGCATTTTAAGAAACGCTCTCGGCCAGATCTCCGAACCAGAGCCAGAAGGAATCTGTACAAAAAACAGGAGCCAGAACAAGCAGGGGTTGCTAAGGATGCAAAATCTGTGGCCTCAGATGTTCCCCTCTACAAGGATGGGGAGGCTAAGACTGACCCAGCAGGGCTAAGCAGTCCCCATCTGCCAGGCGCATCCTCTGTAGCACCTGACCCAGAGGGTCCCGAATTCCCAGTTGAGTCTGTGGCTTCCCGGATCCAGACTGAGCCAGACAACCTGGCATATGCCTCTGCCTCTCCAGACAGAATTCCTCCCCTGCCTCAAGAGACTGTGGATCAGGAGCCCAAGGATCAGAAGAGGAAATCCTTTGAGCAGACGGCCTCTGCATCCTTTCCCGAAAAGAAGCCGCGGCTTGAAGATCGTCAGTCCTTTCGTAACACAATTGAAAGTGTTCACACCGAAAAGCCGCAGCCCACTAAAGAGGAGCCCAAAGTCCCGCCCATCCGGGTAGGAGACTGTTTGATTCCTGGCTGCCCTGGAGCCAGGTTTTCTTTGAGAGTCATGAGATTATAGAGCCCTTTTACTCTGGGGCCCTGAAGTTAATTATATGGGAATATAGAACTTTTTGTGAGAGAAGTTTTCTTGAGACTGCCTTAAAGTTTAATGAGATGAAGTGTTTTTTTTTCTTCCTCACTTTTTTGTTCACTCTGTTGAAGTTATCTCGAGAGGTCAAAATCCTTGGGGTTTTAAAATCCTTTTAAGATAGTGTTAGATTCTTTGCTGTAGTGACTCACACAGTTCCACCAGAAATTAAATTTAGAAGTGTGGCATGTAACAGCCCTTGAGCAGAATCTTCTCTGAATGGTGTGGTGTTATGGCAGTTATTTTACTATGATTATTTCATTGTTTTAAGAAAATTATTTGATTCTCTATGCCATGACCCTTAAGCTACTAGAATCCTAGTTCTGCTTTACAGTCTCTAGGTCAGATCACCCAGTCAGTTAAAATTATTTTCTGATTCTTTTTTTGCAGATTCAACTTTCACGTATCAAACCACCCTGGGTGGTTAAAGGTCAGCCCACTTACCAGATATGCCCCCGGATCGTCCCCATCACGGAGTCCTCCTGCCGGGGCTGGACCGGCGCCAGGACCCTCGCAGACATTAAAGCCCGTGCTTTGCAGGTCCGAGGGGCGAGAGGTCACCACTGCCATAGAGAGGCGGCCACCACTGCCATCGGAGGGGGGGGTGGCCCGGGTGGAGGTGGCGGCGGGGCCACCGATGAGGGAGGCGGTAGAGGCGGCGGCAGTGGTGATGGTGGTGAGGCCTGTGGCCACCCTGAGCCCAGGGGAGGCCCGAGCACCCCTGGAAAGCGTACGTCAGATCTACAGCGAACACAACTACTGCCGCCTTATCCTCTAAACGGGGAGCATACCCAGGCTGGAACTGCCATGTCCAGAGCTAGGAGAGAGGACCTGGCTTCTCTGAGAAAGGAGGACAGCTGCCTGCTACAGAGGGTTCCAGTTGTATTCACAAATGGGCCAGAAGATGCCTCCCAACTCCCCATTGCTCCCACTGGGGACCAGCCATGCCAGGCCTTGCCCCCACTGTCCTCGCAAACCTCAGTAGCTGAGAGATTAATGGAGCAACCTAAGTTGCACCTGGCTGTTAGAACTGAGTGTGAGTCTGGCACCACTTGCTGGGAAAGTGAGGAGGAGGAGCGGGGACCCACTGTTCCCGCAGAGAATGGTCCTATTCCATCTCTAGTGGGAGGTGATACCTTAGAAAAAGGAACTGGCCATGCTCTTGACAGTCATCCCACTATGAAGGACCCTGTAAATGTGACCCCCAGTTCCACACCTGAGTCCCCATTGACTGATTGCCTGCAGAACAGACCAGTTGATGACAAATTAGGGCTTGGTGACTCATGCCCTCCTATGAGGGAAAGTGATACTAGGCAAGAAAACTTGAAAACCAAGGCTCTCGTTTCTAGCAGTTCCTTGCATTGGATACCTATCCCATCGAATGATGAGGTAGTGACACAGCCTGAACCAGAGTCTAGAGAACGTGTACCATCTGTTGAGTCCCAGGTTGGAGAAGAGTGGGAGAAAGGTGCTCCCACCCTTCCTGCATTGCCTGGGGATTTGACAGCCGAGGTGGGTCTAGATCCTGCTGATAGCCTTACTTCACTCTGGACTGTGCCGTCTCGAGGAGGCAATGACAGCATTGGCAGTGACTGTCAACAAGGGGACGTTGAAAAGCTGAAAATCAACGGAGACTCTGGAGCACTGAGTCCTCACAGTGAGTCCACAGATACAGCCTCTGACTTTGAAGGTCACCTCACTGAGGACAGCAGTGAGGCTGACACTTGTGAAGCTGCAGTGACAAAGGGATCTTCGGTGGACAAGGATGAGAAACCCAGTTGGAACCGATCTGCTTCAGTGTCCAAGGTGAATGGTGACCTGAATCTGGTTACAAGGACAGATGGGATGGTTACTCCTCAGAGCTGGGTGTCTCAAGTATGTGCGGTCCCCCAAAAGACCCCAGATTCCCTACTGCTGGCCAATACGGAGTACCACCCAAGAGCCATGTGCCTGTCCAGGCCTGGGTCCTCAGTGGAGGCCACTAGCCCTCTTGTGATGCAGTTGCTTCAGGGTAACTTGCCCCTAGAGAAGGTTCTTCCACCAGGCCATGATGACAGCATGCCACAATCCCCACAAGTACCGCTTACAAAAGTGCAGAGCCATGGCTCCCTGAGCATGGGATCTTTACATGATCTTGGAGAAAACAGTGGCATGGTTGGTAGAAGCAGCCCCAGTTGTTTAAGGGCTTTGAAGGAGCCTCTTCTACCAGATAGCTGTGAAACAGGCAGTGATCTTGCCAGGATAGAGGTCACCCAGGCTCTTGGAGCACCCCAGAAGATTTCCAAGACAGTCCCAAGTTTTGACTCCCTCCATCTGGTGACACACCCGATTACTTCCTCTAGGAAACTGGAAGAAATGGATTCTAAAGAGCAGTTCTCTTCCTTTAGTTGTGAAGATCAGAAGGAGGTCTGTGCCGTGTCACGGGACAGTAGTTCAAATGCTGCTCCAGGCAAGAGCTCAGGAGATCTTACTACCTCGAGAACTCCTTGTTTCTCATCTCCAAATGTGATCTCCTTTGGTCCAGAGCAGACAGGTCGGGCCCTGGGTGATCAGGGCAATGTTACAGGGCAAGGGAAAAAGCTTTTTGGCTCTGGGAATGTGGCTACAACTCTTCAGCGCCCCAGGCCTACAGACCCAATGCCTCTGCCTGCTGAGATCCCTCCAGTTTTTCCCAGTGAGAAGTCAGGACCAAGCACAAACTCCATGTCTGGTGGGGTACAGACTTCCAGGGAAGGCTGGGCTCCAAAGCCGCAATCTGCCTGTGTTGGCAGCATCAAGAATGAGAAGACTTTTGTCGGGGGTCCTCTTAAGGCAAATGCTGAGAACCGAAAAGCTACTGGGCATAGTCCTCTGGAACTGGTGGGTCACTTGCAAGGGATGCCCTTTGTCATGGACTTGCCCTTCTGGAAATTACCCCGAGAGCCAGGGAAGGGGCTCAGTGAGCCTCTGGAGCCTTCTTCTCTCCCCTCCCAACTCAGCATCAAGCAGGCATTTTATGGGAAGCTTTCTAAACTCCAACTGAGTTCCACCAGCTTTAATTATTCCTCTAGCTCTCCCACCTTTCCCAAAGGCCTTGCTGGAAGTGTGGTGCAGCTGAGCCACAAAGCAAACTTTGGTGCGAGCCACAGTGCATCACTTTCCTTGCAAATGTTCACTGACAGCAGCACGGTGGAAAGCATCTCGCTCCAGTGTGCGTGCAGCCTGAAAGCCATGATCATGTGCCAAGGCTGTGGTGCGTTCTGTCATGATGACTGTATTGGACCCTCAAAGCTCTGTGTATTGTGCCTTGTGGTGAGATAATAAATTATGGCCATGGGAAACACTGTATATTTAGTGTGTGTATTTTGATAATGATTGATCTTAAATCTGTATACAGAATATCGTTGATACAATACTCTTTTTAGGCAGGAGCACTCTTGCCCTCACCCCCAAATTTATAGTGCTAAAGCCCTCTGTCGCTTGTCGACCCCTCTGGTCTTGCTGGAGGGATTTTCTGGGTATAACCCATTGGGCTGCCCAAAGCCACCCAGCCTGAGCTCTCCTGCAGACAGAGCCTGATGTGGCATGGAGCAGGGTCGGTGTGGTGGGGGGATTGTGCTGCCTGACTCCCAGAGGGACTTGAAACTGAAGCAAGAAGGTTGCATTCTCTACCAAGGGAATTAACCTACCTGAACTAAGTAGAAATGCCAGTCTTCCACTGTCCCCTCCCTGCCATCTTTTCTTCTGCTACTTTGGGGAATTGGTCTGGAAAGAAGCCAGCACAGGGTTAAAGTAACTCCCATCATTGCCCACCAGGGGGCTGGAGCACCTGCCGACCTTAGGGTCGCAGTTGAGTCATTTGCCAGTTGATGGAGCAAGTTTGACGTTAGTTCTGTTGCTGAAGCAAATTTGGAACTTTTCTGTCTTGGTGCGATCCACTAGCCCACAGGATCATTTGGAACCTTGAATAGCTCTGCTTGGACAATGGGGTCGGGGAATAGGGTTGTCTTTCCTATGAAAATGCCATCTGTAGACCTGGTGAGTCAGCTGTCCAGATGGTTGCAGGTGAATTCCTCTGCTTGACATCTTCCCTGTCACTTTGGACCCTATGGGAGTGGGCATCTCCACGCACTTGTGTATGTGAAAGTCATTTTACATTTCAAAGCGCAGTGTGTGTTTCTTATTTTTATATTTTTAACTCTTTATTCTTGGATGTATAAAGTGAACTTTTTGGCTTCTGTAAGTATGCTCTATGCACCTCTAATGTTTTATCATGTATTTATACGTTGTACACAGTACTGGCCGATTCTGTAAATGGATGTATTGTACAGAGAACATGAATGTCTCCCTAATTTTACATCTTCAGCATCATTGCATTAAAGTGGTGTAATTTACTTCTCTACACCTGTTGTCAGAGCCACTGAGTGCTGTGCTGCTCCACGTGAGGGTGAAATACTTGACTTGTGACCTGCCAGGTTGCCCGATGCCCTGTTGGGTCACCGGGTGGATCTGCTGCAGCCTGCAGAGCCACAGTCAGCCTGCCCACACGCCACTGAGCAAACGCATCTTGCTTCTCACACCTCTCCTCCTCCTACAGCCTTTAATGGCTGCTCGCTGCCATATGTGACAAATCACCACCACCAGTGTTAAGTGCTTCTGGATTCATGGGTGAGTTCCCTGGGCAGCCCCCAGGAAGGCCTTCCAGATCTGGCTCCAGGGTCACCACCTGTCACAGCAATACCTGGGACCATGCTCTCCTGGGACCGTGAGGCTCCTTTTGACGTACTTTTGACATCGGGCAGGTTTGGGAAGAAACAAAGCCATGCCTGCTCCTGCCTCTCTCCCAACATGTTCCTAGCAAGTAGATGCCCCTGAATGTGTCTTCCCTTGCCTTGTTCCCTGCCTTATTTCTTGTATTTTTGACTTATTACAGAATTGAGGATCCTTGCTTAATTTAGGTCAAGCATAAAATCTGTATGACTTCAAGTCTAATTTTATCTGAAAGTTTGTTTTGTTTTTTTTTTTTTCTCATTTAATCTGATGTGGCGTTTTCATCATCTGAAACATGAGTGACAAGTTGCCAATAATGTGATTTAGAATGCAGTATTGGCCAAGTCCAAGTTGTCAACTTAAGCGTCTGTTTACCAAAGACCGGGAACAGGGGCCCAAGCACGTCCAGTCCTCTTCCCTCTGCTGGAACCTTTGGGGACACTCAAGGGTACACAGTTTGACACTGATCTGGTCCATGGGGCTGCCCAGAGAAAGCACTGCTTTTGTATGTCTGTTGTGGTATTAGAACAATAAACCTGTACAACCTGCTGTTGTGGTCTCAGTCATCTTCTGTGGCTGCCTCGCTGGTGTGGGAAGGTCAGGCTGGAGTGCAGAGCTGGAAGGGAAGGAGTAGATGCCAGCTCTCCTCACCTTAGCTCTGGAGCTACTGTTCTTATACTTGGAGCTCTTTTGGGAGGTTAGTTCTAAAGGAATGACTTGGCAGCTTCACTGATCTTTAGCTGTTCATGCCTTCCAGACTTCACCACATAGACTGCAGTCAGCAATCTGCTGAGAGCAATGAGAAGGTTTCCCCTTTGTGAGTGAAAGTCAGAAACTGTGACATCCCTCTGCAGCAGCTCATCCAAATGGCCTCACCGAGTTTGAGATTGCCAGGTGGCTTCCTAATGGTCAGTGGTCTTCTGTGGGAGGGTGACTAGCTCTGAACTTAAAAAACCTTAACCATGAGCACCTCTTTCTGTGACCTCTGGTGGCAGTGAGAGGAAGGTGCTGGCCCAGGGTAGGGTGTCTGATGCTAGCTGAGTGAGCCTGAGTAGATGACGTGCTTCAGGGGGTTGCCTTCTTGATCGAGAAGTCCTCTGATGTCTCTGGAGTACTTCAATACATTGATTTTGTGCTTATCAAAAATAATTTTATTAGCATATAAACAAGCCAAGGCGGAAAAAATGGGGGTTTAAACATATATTCATTAATTTTTTCCTGTGAATTGGAGGAAGAACTCTGTGGTGGGATATCCCTTGGGCAGTCGAAGTTGCCACTTTGTAGTGCTGCTGTTTGATAGACATGCAGTTTTGAGAGTTGATGACTCAGGGGCCCTGTAGTGACTGGGCAACTGCCTGGTGGTGGTGATGTGTCCTTGTGCCATAGAATCCGTTTGGCCACATAGGTCTGCAGGAGCTAATCATTACAGTCCCGGATTGGGACTTTCCATGGCCTGTTGTATCTCCTGAGGGAGGCAGAATGATGCAGTGACTTCCTAGAGCACAGCCTCTGCAGCACACCGGCTCTGTGGTCTTGGACTATGTTACTTAACCCGGTTGCCACCTCTCTTCTGTGAATAGGTATAATAGTTCCTACTTCATGAGGTTATTCGTGCCTGACACCCGGCAGATAATGACTATTAGTTCATAGCAGGCCAAGACAGTCGTAGTCATGTGAATTCACAGTAGGAATCTATACAGCTATTGCCACCGACTTCACTCTTGCTGCAGAGGGGAGCTGTCAGGATGTAGGCCTTGTGCCCACTGTGCTGAGGGGCTGTTGCAGGCTGTGAAGTCACTTTGGACCCTGATTTTTGGTCTCGGGCCACAGACCTGACCAAAAGTTGAGTGTTATCCTGAGTTTAGAGACTGAATATTTGGTAAGGAAGGCTTATTTTGCTCATGGTCCAAAGGGCAAGGAAAATCATGTTTCAGGATATAGGAAGGAAGAATGGTACTGACCTGGCAAGGTGTCATTTGTTTGCTATCCAGCCTGCTGTAAGACTGTGTTAGAGAGAGGGGGATGTGGGTATTTGTGCATGCTAAATAGAGCCGCCTGTGTCCATCAGGGGTCCTGATGCCAAAGCATCTACCTGCCCTGTTTCCCTGAGAGGAGGGGCCCTAGGCTGTGTTGCCCTCATGTGGGTATTGTTTGAAGCCATGAAGGGGCAGGATGTGGAACTTTGGAGATTGCTTCAAAATTGGATTAACACCTTTATGCTTCCTCTAGTCTCTGGTCAATTTGAAAGCCTAGAACGGCCGGGCGCGGTGACTCAAGCCTGTAATCCCAGCACTTTGGGAGGCTGAGGCGGGTGGATCACGAGGTCAAGAGATCGAGACCATCCTGGTCAACATGGTGAAACCCCGTCTCTACTGAAAATACAAAAAATTAGCTGGGCATGGTGGCGCGTGCCTGTAATCCCAGCTACTCAGGAGGCTGAGGCAGGAGAATTGCCTGAACCCAGGAGGCGGAGGTTGCGGTGAGCCGAGATCGGGCCATTGCACTCCAGCCTGGGTAACAAGAGCGAAACTCCGTCTCAAAAAAAAAAAAAAAAAAAAAAAAAAGCCTAGAACGAACATCTCTACCACAAGACGTAGACGAACACCCTGTACAACAGTTGTCGGTGCTGTGTTACCTGATATGGGTGGGTCTTAACCTGTTTTTGGAAACTCCTCCCCCCGTGGAATGCACATACAAAGTTTTTTTGTTTTTAGAGTCTCCTTTTCAGGCTGGAATGCAGCGGCGTGATCATAGCTCACTGTAGCTTCAAACTCCTGAGTTCAGGTGATCCTCCCACCTCATCCTCCCAAGTAGCTGAGACTACAGGCATATGCCACCACCCCCAGCTAATATTAAAATTTTTTGTAGAGACAGGCTCTTGCTATGTTGTCCATGCTGGTCTTGAACTCCTGGCTTCAAGTGATCCCACCACCACACTTGAACTCACAAAAGTTTTGCATACTGTCAGCATTTACCGGCTCCTTAGGCAGCTGGGGCCCCTCATTTAAGAACCACTGGCTGAGAATAAACCTAATAAAATCTGTGTATACAAAAGATTAATTAAGGGAAGACAGGATTTTGCAAGGATTCTTGGGTTTCCTGTAACTACTAAGCTTCCCTAGTGCATTTTAAGTTGTAAAAATAGCATATGCATGTTTTCCTGTTTTTCGTAAAGGGAGGTTTGCCTGTTTTGTCATTGAGTACATTTTAGTTCACTTTTCTGAGGGGACATTCCCATTTGATGAAGTCTTTTGTCCACTGTTAACAGTGGTGTGGAGACCCATTTAAAGAAGCCAGACTCCAGCGCTTTTCTGCCCTCAGGCAGATTTCTCCTGGGAATCCCAGAGCGTCCTCGGAACCGCAGTATTTCCTGTGGAAGGAGGTAAGTGTTTGCGGGCTGGCCAGCAGGGTCTGTTCTGGAGCTGTTGTCCCAGGTTGTGGGTTTCTAATAGTCATAGTTTCAACAGTCTCAGTGGTGATCATTTTAGGTAGGACAAGGAATTTCCGTGTTATTAACTGAGGATTTGCTGCCCCGATTCCCCACATCCATGGGCAGAGGGAGGCGTCAAGGGCCGTCTTCTGCTGTGCCGGGACCTTCTCCTCTCAGTGAGTCTCAGCCCCTCGGTCACACCCTTCTCTACGTTATATATTAGGCTACTGCACAGAATTTCTATGAGAAAAAGAGTGTCATTATTTAAAAATAGAGGTTTTAAGAACTGCCATAAATGTGTGTACATATATATACACACACACGGAATTTTAGCAGTAAAATGTATGCAATTAACATGCATAAAGTTGTTTTTAAATCCATGATGACCTGTTATGTTCCCAGCCACATTCCTACAATTTTTCCTTAAAGCTTAACCTAAACCATATACATGGGATGAAAAAAAAATCACAAATGATTCTTTTGCGAAAAGTGGCCCTTTTGTTTCGTTCAAGGTGGGAATCCAGGGTTTTGATAGAATGGCATGTTAAGCACTAAAGGTTCAGAACCAGGGATCGTGTTTGCTCCGTTTTCCAAATTAGCACTTAGGGATTGATTGTTCTGGGGATTTGGTTTCGTCAGTTGCCCTTGTCCTAGGATGAGAGGTCATGGAAAAGCTACAGATTGGTTGCTGGTCACTGGATTTCAGCAAGGCATAAATATACCCCATGTGCCTGTGTGTGTGCACGTAGGGGTGAGGGAACCGAGAGGTAAAACGGTGCACGAGAGCTCCACCTGTGTTGAGCAACCGATGGGCACCTGCGAAGGGTTCATTGCCTTCCCTTTCTAACAGATGAGATGCTGGAATTACAGGTTTATTTGTTCTAGAAAATGCACGGAGGACCTTCTGTATGCTATACTATTGGCTAGGAAAAGGTGGAGTCTACCAGTAGATGTTTCGGTGCCAAACTAGATGAGGAAGGATGAGAAGTGGCAGGTGGTGCTGCTGTCAATAGGACACAGTGGAAGCAGAGCGTTCGGTTTGTTGTTCAGTGTTTATTAAGTAGATTCAGTCTTATATATGATATACAGATTCAAAAGGAAAAGGATTCCACATACTTATGAAATCAGTGCATTTAGCAAGTAATACCATGGAGATAACAGCTCGATTAACAGCTCATTGGTCTTTTGTTAAGTGAGGGGGAGAGGGAGACGGCCTGTGCTAGTCATTCCACAAACAAAACAGAATTTAGTCGCATCACGTAGAGAAGACACATTCTAAGAATTAAAATATTAAGCCACATTTACTGGTAAAACTCACTATATAGAACACAAATAATTTGTATAGAGAGCATTGAGGAGGAAGTCCTCACCTGCTTAGAAGAGCCACGTTAAGTTGCATAGGTGCATATCTGTAAAAGTATAATTTAGAGGTGAAGCCATTGACTCATAAAGAGTCACCTTTCAAACCTGGTGCCATCCACTGTTTGCCTTAAGTGCTTACTGGAGCCCTGTGCCCCTCCCTGGAGGTGGGACCTCATGAAGGAGCTGCCCCCAGAGGAACCCTGAAGAAATGGCTTGTACTATCTGCACTGAAAGTCTTAACATCTCATCTCGGATTTTGAACTCATGCTCTTCCAAAACATGTCTAAATTATGCCAGAGGACTAAAGACCTCTTGGGTTTTCCCTAAATCCTGGTTGGCTTGATCCTGAAGGCCACATAAGTCATTCTGACCTTCCCACTCCCAGGCTGCCCAGGGAAGAACTCCGCTCATCCCACAGCTCTGCTCTAAAGTCCTGCCTTCCCTCTTCCTCTGTCCATGCAGTTGCCCACCAGCAGCCCACAGGAGGTCTCTTCTGACTCCTGCTCCTAAATGGACCACATAATAGAGGCCTATGGGCCACCTACCAGGTGGAAAGTGTTTTTCAGCCAATCTGAGTTCTATGTGGTACAGGTTTTTTGTTGTATTTTTAGGTGGAAACCTAGGTAAAAAGTGAGAGGTTTTTGTTTGTGGCTTTGCTAAGCAGATGAGCTTAGTGAGGTGCGTCTTCCTCCTCAAGAGCGAGTCTTGCAGAACACACAGGGACTGGGGGCATCTGTACATGTAAACAGTACACTTT